AGATGCGTTTTCTCTTGTTTGGTGGGTGTGTCAAACATGTCAGCCCAATCAGCAGCAACATGTATATAAACCACGAGGTATTAAAGAGACAGCTGGCACAATGTAATTAACATCCAAATAAGTTCACAAGAGCAAGTATATTGTTTGCACATGTTTATTTACATTAAAGGCAAAATAACTCAAATAATAAGAGCACAAGTATAGATCTGGAACTTATTTATGTCTGTCTAAATATAATTTAGTAATTGCAATGTCTTCTGGTCCATATCCTTTCATTAGGAAGCTGTGCTAGACACTGATTAATGTAACATAAACATACTATACATATTTATATATAAGGGCAGTGACTGTACCATCAAGCATATTTTGCAGTATCAAACACGTATTTATACTGATTTCACCAGGCTCCGAAAATTCTTCAAAAAGAACACAAAGAATGGCCTTCTCAGCTGCCATAGTTGCAACTCTTGCGTCATCAGAACAGGGTGTTCAACGCACCAACGTTTCCGTTTAAAAACGTTTTGCACCGTTTTGTCGGGGCTGAACGCAGCCCAGGACTAGTCTAGTTAAGATGTAATCTGGTTGACTGCACACATGTTTTATCAAGCCATTTGGAAAGCAAAGTTGTGTTAACAAAGCTGATACAATGAGCGCTTCCAAATTCAGCCCAGGACATTATTTAGCAGCTATATGTTATGGTGTGTGTTGTTATTTGACATTGGTGAACATGTATTTTAAGCTGCTTGATAAGAGTCTGCAGTCATTTTTCCTACGCAGAAACTGCTCAAGTGGCCCAAACAATGAAGTCAATAAATCAAATCAGCAGTACGCTTGAGAATCCTTCGCTTAGAGAAATGCTGCCCTCTATCGGTCATTACGAGAACTTATTTTGTAAACTGTATGAATTAATACGATGGATTGTTCAGTGTTTCAGAATGGATACGTTGTAATGTTAGTATCAATCCCATATAATCGAGAGATATAGCTGTTTTTAATAAAAGAATTGGAACTATCAAGTCTGTTTTGGGCTTATGCAAAGCACCACGTGAAAAGGACCCCGGGCTCCTGTGCGCATGCGCACAGTCCCGGCTTGCTTTCTATTGGCGAGCTGAAGTTGGTGTGCGATGAGCAGCGGTGTGTGACACACTACTGAGATAACAACACACACACGCTTACAGCACTGAGAGCAAAGGCGACGCGGAAGAGCTCAAAGTCCTCTGGATGAGACAGCATGCGTGAAAGTGCCTATACTCACACACTAGATCGGATTTACAGGAATCAGCTGATCCGGTGAGTCTGTCAACAGCTCACTACTGTACATACAGACCAGGTGTGTTCAGGGCTGCGCTTCCTGAGATAAGTGGGTCGTAGAGACCATTACGATGATTTTGGGAAACGCAGCCCTGACTACTAGAAGAAAGTACCACAAGTGGATATTTAGTACGATGGCAGGACCGTAATATAAATTATATCTTGGAGTAAATACTTAAAGTTACGTAAATATGGAAATCATTCAGTATTACCATCTGATGCTTTCACTGTATCTGTCTAGGGTTTGACTAAAAACATATTCCCATGTGCCTATATAATTGCATATAAATTTAGAAACATCATAATACCGTTTTAACCATGTAAAGTCTGGCATACTGTATGCAATAGTTAGGAAAAAATATATATATGCATGTAGCTTACATATATACATATACATACAATCTAAAATAGTTTGCATATGGGTTTTATGTTTTGTACTATACTTTAGTATTTTTAAACACCAGGCTCATATAGTATGATATAGTGAGAATACAGAGCTCATACTAAAAAAAAAAACTCAATTTTATTCTGAGGTGTTATATGCTACAGTAGCTGATATTAATATGGCCAACAAGATAAAATTCTGATAGTTTGTAATTTAACAAATTGAGATTTTTGTATAATAGTATAGCAGACTATTTAATTAAAAAGCATATAAATATCAGTTGTCACTTAATATCTCCCCATAATATGTCTCCGTAAGATGCAATACAATGATGATTAAGAGATGAACAAATAAACATTCCTTAAAAGTATGATGTATCATTTAGTACTCACATTTTAACATGTTTTATCTAAAAATGATGCATGGGTAAAGTTAACCTAAGATGCTTTAGTCCAGTAAATATTTGTCTTAAAATATTAATAACAATATAAAAGTTATTTGCACATTTACTTTGTAAAAAAAGTGTACTATCACTGAGACCACAGAAGGCATTTCGGATATTTTTTACAACAGGCTATTTAGCAAAGTTTTGATTATGATAATAACTTAGAGGCCTTAGAAATTCATGTATCAAATATGATACAGTAGGCTTTAGGGTTTGACTAGACGGTACCATTTTATCAGTAATACCAGGATTTGACTAGCTCTATATATTCACATAGTCACTGTGCTACAAAACGTTTAGTTAGAAACACATTTATATATTCACTAGACATGTACGACTTATATTTGGTATTCTAATAAAAAGCCACACAAACGAATTAAGGTTTTTTTCTCTACTGTCAGAGTGTTTTGAGGGGCGTGTGGTCAGCCTGAAGATGGGCGATCTGTCGGTTAATAGCTCCATCTTCAGCAGCAGGGATGGATCTGACGCCCCCTCCGTCCCACCCAGCATGTCGATCGACAAACTCCTTCCAGCCCTGCTCGAGTGTTTTGGGATCATTCTCTGCGGATACGTCGCGGGCCGCACAAGCATCATCCCAGCTACACAAGCTAAAGGACTGGGCAGCTTTGTGTCCAAGTTTGCGCTTCCAGCCCTGCTTTTCAAAAACATGGTGCTGCTGGACTTTGGCAACGTAATCTGGCCATTTTTCTTCAGCATTTTGGTGGCTAAAGTGACTGTGTTCTTCTTTGTGTGTGTCCTCACACTTTTGGTGGCGAACAGAGAAAGCCGCTTCTCCAAAGCTGGCCTCTTCTCCATATTTGCCACACAGAGCAATGACTTCGCACTGGGGTTTCCTATAGGTAAGTGGAAAAGGAGAAGCCATAAATAAAGTAATAGGCTACAGCATGTGTCTGTTACCATAAGGAAACTCCATATTATGTGTAACAGAACAAATCCAAAAATAGAACTAAACCCACAAATCATGCAAAACTTGATCTTTAAAAAAATCTGTGATATTTCTGACTGTATACATGTATGTTCTTTCACTTTCATTTGCCCAAAGTTCTCCCCACGCATGATGAGTTTGTAGGTAACACAATCCATATGCTGTACAGCCTGTTAGTTTAGTTTGAGGTTCATTGAATGCATTTCCAGGGCTTGGCACATAGTACTGGTATGATTGACATAATACCTCACCTCAGGAGGCACGTGACCAACCTTCAACGTTGAAAAGTGGTTAAAATATTGTCAGTTGTTTCAATATTGAAAAAAAAAAACATTGAAACAACATTCAATGCTAAATGGTTGTAAAAAGGTTAATGAAATACTTGTAAATCAGTGTTGAAATAGTAAATCATCCATGTTGAAAATATGTTAAAACAATCAGCGATTCATGATATTGATGCCCCCGTGAATGAATGTAGAAATGTTGATATATCAAATACATCACTGACTACATGGTTTGTTTTTTCCAAGCTATAAATACAGAGAAGAAGCCTTAAGTACGGTGGCCGAGAAGTGCAAAACAAATCACAATTCTGAAAACAAAATAACAAATTACAAACGCAAATGCAAGTCTAAAAAACAAAATAACAATTCAGAAAGCACAACAACAATTCAGAAAACATTATAACAAGTCAGAAAACACAATGACAAATCCGAAAACAAAATAACAAGTCAGAAAACTCAACGACAAATCCGAAAACAAATTAACAAGTCAGAAAACACAACGACAAATCAGACAAACCGGATTCGGTTCGGCAAAAGGCGGGATCGAACCCGGGTCGATCCGTCAAAAAGCCAACGACATGTGCTTATCCATCTGCGCCACTGGAGCTGATG